ACAGAAAAGCAGAAGCCAATCAGAACTCACACTGGTAGCAAGAAAAGCAGAAAGCAAAAACTATTAACTTATAAGCAGAAACTGTCGACTACCAACGCGAGTTCTGATTGGCTTCTGCTTTTCTGTTTTCCGCTCTTTCGTCAAGGTGTGAATTCGCCCTTATGGCTTACGATTTCTTCTTTTGTCCCACTGAATTTCGGATCCCTAAAATCCAAGTACCATGGTTTCAGGCTTACGACTTATAGCGTTTTCGATCTGTTGACTCGATTCGACTCCGAGTCAAAATAGTCTGTTCTTTTTAGCGTTTCTTGCACACTTTAACTATTCTTTTATAGCTAAAAAGAACAGATCATTGACTCGGAGTCGGATCGAGTTAACAAATCGAAAACGCTAGCTATTACTATACTTTTTTTGTAGGACCTTTAAGCATGAATTTGATCACAGACATTATGGAGAATTTACACCTTGACAGAAAAGCAGAAACCAATCAGAACTCGCGTTGGTAGTCGACAGTTTCTGCTTTCTGCTTTTCCAGCGCGAGTTCTGATTGATTTCTGCTTTTTTGTTTTCTGCTTTTCTGTCATGGTATAAATTTTCTCTTACTATTGGCTGCATTCAGCAGAAAAAGCAGCTTTGTAATTGTGTAAATTTTTTAAATATAATTGGTTCTTGCTCTTAATTTTTCACTGAATTTAAAATCTGCTGAAGGTCTAGCGTGCTTTCGTGCTTTTTGTTTCATGTATGATGTGCGTGATGTATCATCTTATCCTTGTTGTTCACTTAAATATTAAACAAAGATAAAATGATCACGCGCATGAAACGAAACGTACGTATGTATGTACATACCTTTAGAACTCATCTAACCGCACATGTGTCATGAATATGTGCCGTTAATGCCATGCGGCCGGCGGCCCATGTCACGTGTCACGTGTCACGTGGCGGGAAAACGCACGTTATCGGTTATTATGCACTTGTGTTAAATGATTGAAATTGATGATTTATCTGAAAATAAAGGAAAAATTTCCGTCCACGTTTACAGAATAATTTGGAATTCTGCGTTTTAGCTTTTAATAGAATCTCGCGTGTCTGCGACGCGATGCTCGAATCAAGAACATAACTCGTAAGAGGTTAAACTTGAAGCGAGTGGGGTAAGGTTAAATCCACAGGTTTTTGTACGATGATAGTGGGTTCGGGAGCCTTTCGTGGAATTGCCCGCGAGAAATTCGCGCGCGGAATTACTTAAACTACTTAGAAGAATCCTCTTGCCAAGTTCTCGATCGCGGCAAACGATCGTTCGTCGCGTTTTAATACTGCATCATCCAGCATCATCTTGAACAATCTTGAAGGAAGATCCTTGAAACGCTGTTGCATTTGAAAACGCAGATGTATCGACAGCAGTTCAACTCTCTTCCCCTCCCAGTTTCATAGTACGCATTTATTTCTCGCGGTTGTGCGTGATTCGAACTTTGACACGGAAAACGATAAAAAAAAAGTTCGCCACTTATCGTTTCTTGCATAATAAGTAGATCTCGATTGATCTCGATGTTTACTTTGCTGAGGAGAATGACGCACAATGCATTTCTGGGTCGCTCTGTCCATATTAATGGATCCTACGAGGTAAATACATTTGGCGATCGCCTCCTTCATTATCTCAGAATTTTCCATTCCCTCTTAATTTATTGTATTCATTGAAAAATCTTAAGTATTTACGTTACAATAAAAGAGAGATAGTTTATTTTGAAGATGACTCACAAAATGCAAGAGTTTGATTTAGAGAGTATTCTACATCTATAGTGTCTAATTGTATTGTTTAAATTAATATAATTGTATATAGTTATATTTTTTAATTTTATTAAATTTATGTTTAATATTGGATTTAATATCAAATTTTTAAAATTAATAATAATAAGCTCATATATTAATGTTCGACGTAGTTATAAATAAATATTATGTCACATTTATAATGTAATGTGAATATTTGACTTGTTTTGTTAAATACATTATTTGTTTTAATGATACAAAAATTTGGTACGCTTTGATGTAAATTCTATCCTTGTTAGAATAGACTCGTATAATGCTTGAATAGTCAGTGCAATGTTACGAGTATATCATTCTTCTAACGAAATATCTTCAAATTATTTAAGAGATATTGGAAGAGGAAATCTGCTTCTCTGTTCTTCAAAACTACTCACAATGACTCAATGATTGCACTAGCCAAAAAAGATATTGAAATTTTGAAAAACAGAAGAATTTTAGAATAAAGTGAGAAACAAATTTTTCCCTCCAACATTATAAAAGCAAGTAAAGGTATTCTGCTAAAGGAATAGTACAACTTTCTATTTGTGATTATCAGGCATTGTTCATCAACAAGAAATGAATTCCAAACAACATAAAATCTATATTAAATGCAAATCACATTTAGCCTCTTATTAATAAAACAAAGTATCTCCCTGATAGCCACATTAATTATTTTGTCCATTTTCTATACATATTATTTTTGCAGGAAGCCATAAAGGCGTTGAGTCTCACCTTGCAAAGCAATGCTGCTTACTTGCAATCTGTTAAGAAGCATGTCACAAATGATTCTGCAAAATTGAAGGAAACAGAAAAATATTTTCTCCGGTAATGAAGTTATCAGTATTTTAATACTATTGGATTGGCTAATAAATCCGTCCGGTTTTTGTCGGTTTTAGATGACTTTTGGCGCTCTGTCTAAAGCTCTATCTTTAATCTGAATCTTAAAAGCGCATAATTATTAGATTTGTTCCTGTTGCTTGAAATCCTCAAAAAATGTTAAATTTTAAATGAGTAAATATAAGGCTTGTTTATGTTGTTTGAAATCCCCAAATATTTTGCACTTAAAATGAGATACATATATATTCGAGCGTTGAAAAGAGAATGCGAAGAATTTAAGTGCAAGCAACACGAATAAATTTATTGATAGATAACGCTTCAACGTATATTTAAAAAAAAGATAGCGTTGGCCTTTGGGCAGATTGGAATAAGAAGAAAAATAATACTACGATTGATTGTACTTTGTGTGTCTAGCGTCATTTAAAAGATGGATAATACAAAAAATAACATCTTTGGCATATTATGCTTCTTTATTTTAAAAAAGGCAAAATGAGTTGCCTAAAAGATGGCAAAAGATAATGGATCATAATGGCCAATACATTCTTGATTAAAGTTAATGCTTTCTTTAAAAAAAAAATCATCTTTTATTCATAGGTAAAAAAATCGTACGGACTTATTGAACAACCATAATAATTAGAAAGTTAAAGTAGTATTAAAATTCAAATAGATTATTTTACTTATACTTTAACAAAATCTCCATGTTCCTGTTTTGTCCCCATTAAAAACACTGTTTAAAAAATATATTAAAGGTAAATTTTAAATTAATGATTTTGTTTAATTTTTTATGTAATTTCAAACCTATTAACTTCAAGTCTATTCTTACAGATCTGGTCTTACTTTGGAGCAATTGGATAGTCTGTCCATCATTCATGTAGCTGGTACCAAGGGTAAGGGCTCCACGTGCGCGTTTACAGAGGCGATTCTGCGACAGTATGGCTTCAGCACGGGCTTTTTCAGCTCGCCGCATCTGGTCTCCGTGCGGGAACGCATTCGGCTGAACGGCGAGCCCATCAGTCGAGCACATTTCACTCGTTCGTTCTGGAATGTGTATCGCTGCCTGGAGCAAAAACGAGAGCACGAGTCCGATATGCCAACATACTTCAAGTTTCTGATGATCCTCACGTTCCACGTGTTCCTGGAGGCGAAAGTTGACGTAGCGATCATCGAAGTTGGAATTGGTGGCGAACTGGACAGCACCAACATCCTGCGGAATCCGGTTTGCGTGGGTATCACGAGCCTAGGTCTGGAGCACACCTCGCTGCTGGGCAACACTTTGGAGGAGATCGCTCACCAGAAGTCGGGAATCTTCAAACCGTCTGCGACAGCTTTCACGGTGCCGCAACCGGAATCGGCGATGCGCGTTCTACGAAAGCGAGCCGTAGAAAGAGGATGCCGCGACTTGCGAATAGTCTCCACGATCCAAGATCGCGAGTGGAACGATGTCTTCCCGTTGGCGGGTATCGACAGTAGTGGCGTGCAGCGACAGAATGCTTTGCTGTCGATCAGCCTGGCACACGAGTGGATGAGATCACGTTGCGGGCAATCTGCCGTGAACGATAAGTACATCAATCGTTTTCACCAGAGCGATAAGGATGATCTATCACAAGTCATTTTTCCGAATAAAGTCGTGACAGCGTTGGCGAACTGCAAATGGCCGGGTCGCACGCAGATCCTGAGGACCAGCGTGGCGGATTTCTTTCTGGATGGCGCTCACACGATCGATAGTATCCTTAATAGTGTATCATGGTTCAAGCGAGTCAGCCGGAAGACCTCTAGTAAGTTCCTAATATTCAACACCAGCGGTGATCGGAATTCTCTGGAGTTATTGAAACTGCTGAGAGCTCTGAACTTCGATAGGGTTTATTTCGCTCCGAATTACGCCGGGGTGACCAGCGTGGAGGATTTGTCGAATTACGCGCTGATCGACGAGCAGAGAAAGAAATGTAAAAAACACTGCGAGTTGTGGGGCGAGAACTCGGTGTCGAAGAATAGCGTCGCCGAAGTGCTCAACGACGTTAAGAGGCATGTATCAACGCAGGTGGATAGCCACGATAAAGTGGAAGTACTTGTAACGGGGTCTTTACATGTGGTCGGCGCGTTGTTAGCTATTCTAGATCCCAATTTGACAATGAGTAGTAATTTTTAATTTAATGTAAAATAAGATTGAAATTCGATTTAAGATGCTCGTATAACCATGACGAAGTAACTTTTGAGAAATATGAGATCTGACAAAAAAAAAATATATATATACAGTATATATGGAACATAATAAGTCGTGGAAACAGTAAAAAATAACTTTTTTTTTAGAAACCGTAGAATTATATTTAACATAATATTTAATTATAACAATCATATTAATACTTATTATATTAATGCGATACACATCGCATTGTAACATAATTTCAGAGCGACGTTCCCATGATTATATATTTGCAATAATTGCTTTTGTACTTCAATATAGGTCAATCGCTCGCAAATGCATCCGGGTTGTAGATGTATTATGTTTGCGAGAAAATTATTTTGAATTTATTCCGTTGAGCGAGTTATATAGATACGATATCGTGAATAATTGTAAATAAGTATTCAAAAAATCTTTGGATGGTACTCTAATTCCGATTCAGCCTCGGTGTCGGATAGACTAAGTGAAACGCCAGTTCTTCGTCTTAGACGATTATCCTCAGGGCTCTAAAATAAATTAAAATAGTTATAATTATATCGTTATAAAGAAATTTAATAAAATTATTTACTATTTTGTAATAAATGATATGAAAAGTAAATATTTCATTTTAGACCATATTTTTAATCAAAATTTTAGGGATTTTTCAGTTCATATTGATATATAGAATAATTTTAAGAACTGAAATGTGGAGTACAGTCTTTTCCCAGTGAAAGTAGAAACAAATGACGTACATGTCTTCCTTTAATCAATTTTTATATATACGTATATTGAGATTAATACAAATTAATAAAAGCTATAACTTGTTATAACTTGCCTGATCTAAAATACCGGCAGTGGGTTCGGACGCGTAGCCTACTTCCTGCGCATCTTCTTCCAAGTCCGCTTCGTACTCCTCCAGCTCCTCGTCCGAATCTGAATCGTCGAGATATCGGTTACCACGCGAAACTTTACACACCATCTGCGCGAGATCGGTGAAAGTGTATGAAGAGGGTGACTGTTGATTAGCCGCTTGACATTTCGCTCGCATAGCTCTCGCATTCTCTCGATCCGCGTTGAATCGAGGCAGAACTCCGGCTTTCGATTGACCCTCGAAATACGTTTTCCCTGAAGAATGCGATTCGTTTCAGTTTTACAGGTGTATTTAATTTTTGTACAAACGTTTCGTTATTTATTAATACGAAATTTACATTATATTTTTTTAATAATTTCTATTAAGGTTTATCTATAACTTTTTATGATTTGGATTTGAATTTAACGTAAATATTAACGTGAATTTCTCACCGTGTTGGTATCCTACGTCCTTGATCTCGTCAAAATTGGCGAATTGAAGTGTCTTGTACTTGTCGATCGGCGGCCTGATGTACTCGCAATAATCCGAAGTCTTCACCTCCTCTAGCTGGCGAACACAGCTTACGTATGCCAGTCTGGATTGAATATCCGGTAGATTTGGCACCTTTACGGGTGTGGCAAATGGATTCCACCGCTTCCACAGTAACCACCAACCGGACAACGAGTCCCCGTAATTCGTCAAGTCCGTGTCGTCCTGTGAGCCGACGTCGATGGCCAGAATGTGATGCGCTCCTTGCCGCAACATTTCGTCAGCTTGAACGAAAATATGGAGAATGCATGAATCGAGAACCTTAACATCGATTCGTTGTCTCTACTTTATAAAAGATACAACTTGGGAAAAAAAATAATAAAAATTATACGTATATTATATAATGCGGTAATATTATTCTATTCACGGAATTATTTATTTATTTATTTAGATGTATCGTTTTTATACATTTTTTTCTATAGGTCTCTATATCATGCTATATATGTTTCTAAAAAAATTTCTAAAAAATAAATATACTGAATTGTACATAACTAAAAATATCAAGAGCCACATTAGGAGCTTACAATCAGGACTAAACGTAAACGGTAGAAAAGACGAATACCTGGCACGTTATTAACATAACACCCGTCGACCAAAAGATGCCCATCAAGAGAATCGCAAATCGGAGGAAAGACCCCCGCGATAGTCATACTGCCGCGAATATATCTCCATAGTGAACCTGAGCGGACTTAACTATTCAGAATTCGATAACTGTATCTTTTATCAAACGGGAGTGAGCTTAACGTTTCTCGTGATTTCATACTTTTACGTCAGTAACACTCGTAAATAAATCTTCAACATCGTGCCAAGGTAAATATGAAATGATATAGAATCCAACTAAAATTAAATAACCGGCGTGCTTAAATTTCAAAGAAAAGCCGGTACTTTGTCGCAAAATAAAAAATACGGCATATAATTTTCAGATGAATTTTAGATGAATTACCAAATTATATAATTTATATAAAAACTGATAAATAAACTGATAAAAACTGATAAATAAACTGATAAAAACTGATAAATAGTAATTTGCTAAAAAAAGTGCGTAAAGTGCCTCCTAGTAGTTCCTCCTAAATAAATTTCATATTATCTTGACACCATTGTTAATGTTATGGTGTTCTTTAAGTTTTACATTGGCCGTACAAAAAACGGCAACCGTTCATCAGTGCGATCTGGATTACCTGGAAGGTTATTGACGTACCCGCCGTCGAGCAGGAGATGGCCATCAACGGGGTCACACATGGGTGGCATATAACCAGACAATGACATCGAGGCCCGAATGTACCGCCACAGCGATCCTAAAGACGACGAATCATTCTCTTTAATATTTTGCATTTACCCGTACACATTACATTCGAAGAACTTCCTGTATTCTTAAGTTGCACTAACTGTAATTAATTAAACTTTCTCTTTGTGTGCGAACGTGTGTTATGACTTATGTGTGTGCAACGAGAAAGATCATTAATCAAAATTGACTGAAACTGAATCATCAACACTGATGATTTCGTTAAAAAGAATTTTAATTTTATATGGAATCTTTAGATCTTTAGGTGTCCTCACATCAGATATCCATTTCAATATTCTATTCACATTAAATATTTTATTATTTATGTATTCAGAAAAGCGAATAGACTATTAACTTTGAGTACGAATTTTTTAAAATAGTAGTTTTTCGTGAGTTGAGCAATATCATATTTTTTTCGATATCGTGATTTTAGTGCGGTAAAAAGCATACAGGAAGTATATGCACATCAATTAACAATTTTTATACATTCGAGTGAAAATAAAAATATGCCTCGTTTGGTTTTCTCTCTTTTTTTTTTAAACGGCATTAAACGGAGAGTACGTCAACAATAATTATCCGGAAAGCTCACTCCCGCTCGTTAAAGCTTCTACTATCATGCTAATGTGCACATCTAAAATAAAAAATCTACATGCCACGACAAAGCTATTGATGTGAATCAAGAAAGAACGATTTCTCGTATGTTTCCATTTTTTAATACAGACATCCAAAACCGATTGCATCGAGGCAAGTAGTTTTAGATATTATTATCTATAAAATGAAACACATCTTTTACGTATTTTTGATTCACTTTGCATGATTACATGTTGCAAATATTTTTAATTTATTTGATTTTAATTTAAATGATATACCAAAGCTTCTAGTTATATTTTTATTTAGCTGCAGAATCCTTAAAATCATAAACAAAATTTATTCTATATGATAATCTATTATATAATTTTATATTAAAAATTCTAAATAGATAAAATAATAATGGACATACGAAAATTGATTAGAACTAGAAGCTTTGTCGATATTTAGAAAAAAAATGCAAGATTCTATATTTGTACAGACCGTGTCTATGCGTGCGCATACAAGAGTCCGTGATGTCGGTGGTTATAGTAAAATACGGAAGCCACAAGTCCTCTATGTATGTGTCGCCGAAAGTCTGCTGTATCGTGTTATTAAAATCTTTACCGGAGAACATCGAAGTCATCGGATAAGTCAAGTCCATAATCTGCCGCCACCATTGCGTCATTTTCTGCCAGATGAATATACATAATACAGATAAGTATATTTTTACATACAAACATTTTTCGATCCGATGGTGAGGATATCAAAGCCATTATTAAAAACAAAATAAATGTATAGATAAAATATATAGATAAAATCTATATATTTTAGCGCATAAAGGAATTTGAAGAAGATGAATTCTGCAGTTATCCATTATATTATGTCAATCAATGAAAAACTCGAGAATACAAAATGAGAATCGCGAAATCTGTTTTGTCTCACCTTAGACCACTCTCTAGCCTTTTGTGTGGTAGTGGTAATGTTCTTCTCCATGCACCACAAAGCGCCCATGAAAGCACCGATGCTGACACCACCAACCATATCTATGGGTATACCTGCCTCGATGATGGCTTTCAGCATACCGACGTGAGCAGCGCCTCTTGCACCACCTCCACCTAGTACGAGACCGACCGAGGTACCGGTCAGCCACCGCGCTAATCTACTGAAGTCGCTGTGTACGTTCGGCTCGGACATGAGCACTTTCGAGTATAATTCGTTCTGCAACGCAGTATATTTTAGATTAGAATAGCTACTCTTTTCTCTCGTTAATATTCGCAATAAATTTTTTTATTTATAACATAAATAAAATAATAACAGATCGTAGACGATTTAGATTAAATCTGCCGGTTGATGACATTTGCTTACAATTCTATACTGCGATCTTCTGGTGAACATCCGTTTCGGACACTGGATGTGATGGTGGCTGGATACCCACGATCTCATGTTCAACCACTGAACGGTGTTTGTAGGTCGTTGACCGTTCTGTTCCTTGTGTAACAGCACTAGCTCCTTCTGCGTTCGCATTACCAGCCGTTCTATCTCACGTTCCGTTCGACCAATCGATGGCGGTCGATCGCCCAGACCCACGATAAGAATACAATCAGCCTGTCTTGCGCATCGCTGAGTCCATAGCGTGTAACTTGAATCACATTGATACAGAGAGATTCTATGCTGATCTTCCTGCTGTGCAAGCCAGGAAGTTAATCGGTACTCATTTGCAGGCTCCATGATGGTCGTTCCTAAAGTCTACACACAAAAAAGAAATGAAATGACGATTAATATGTTACTAATTATTTCTGAGAAATCGATTGATTTATTTAATCACTTTTTTTATTAAGAAATTATTAAATTAAAAAGAATTGAGCAAATAAAAAAATATATATTAAAGAGAATTTTAAACTTCATGGTGTATGGTGTATGGTGTACGGTTTAATACAACTGGTTAGATTGTATTAAAAATAAATTATACCAGAATGACCAAGATGCGCGCGATTACGATACAATACCTTTCTTACGACATCCGACGTTAGACGAAGACAAGATCCAATGGCACATAAAGAATGATATAATTCGTAGGTAAAAGCAGTTAATGGCACATCATCTGACACCGGCACTATAGCAACAGTCGAAAAATTTACTTGTGCGGGTCTAGCATCGACCGTCGCTGCGGCTCGTCTGTAAAATATTTTTTTTAATTAAAAAATCAATTCGCATTAATAATATTATGCATATATAATAATAATAATAAATATAAAACATAGATTTATGTAACAATAATGATCTGATTGCGTTCAATATATCAATAACGTATTATATTTACTGAGTATCATTGCTGCCGTTTTTCGTGGGTGCTTGCTGCCAAGTACCGAGTATGCGATGGCCGAGAAGATTTATTAATCTCGTGACAACAATTGGATATCTGAGTTTGATTACATTGAATAAACCCTCCGGCAGCTTCGCAAGCTCGGAATCCCGGACCGCCATGACCGTCGTCGACCGCGGAGTTTGCGTGACCATCTCCACGATTCCCACCAAGTCACCCTTTCCGTATTCTGCTACCGGTTCTTTTTTGCCGTTTTTATAAGTGATTACCGATCGCAATCGTCCGCTCAACACAATGAATGTCGAGTCTGATTCATCCCCTTGTCTGTAAACGGCTCGTCCGCTTTCAAGGAACAACCAGTCGAGAGCGAAATCCACCTGCCCAAGAAACAGCAATTTAACAATATATTTCAAAAATTCTTTCTTTTAATAGTTATTTCTCTTTTTTTTTACAGATTCCTACCTGTCTTACGAAAGGGCTTAATCTGCGAACGACGGTATGTGCCACGTGCAACACAACTGTAGGCTGCTCTCGCATGATAGCGAAGAATGTCAATTTGCTGAGTAACGCGATACGGCTGGCATGCTTCGCTCTGATTGTGTAGAAGGATGGTTCGCCGGTTAATACTGCTAAACCACCAACAATTTCGCCCTGATGAGCGGTAAACATGTGCACTTCCTGACCCGCGTCCCGACCCTCCGATACGCGTTGGCTTACTGTCAGCGAGCCCGAAAGCACATACACAAGTGCGACATCCTGCAAACGCGATTAAATTTTGATAATATTTCTACATTATATTTATAAAAAAAATTATTTCCTTTTATACATAGCTTATATTTGACAAATGTAGAAAAAAAATAGCAAACCTTGTGAGATTCTTCTTTCATCAGATAAGTACCGGCCGGCACTTCCCTGATCTGCACTTTGTCTTTAAGCACATCCTCGTCCTCTATGCCAAGTTCATGAACGAACGCGTCTGTGGCTATCTGTATGAGCTGCGCCTCGTCCAGCTGTTGTTGCTGCTGCTGCGCTGCCTCGTTGACCTGGCGCTTTTTGCTGGAGTAAGTACTTCCCGAATGGGAGGCTTCCGGATGTGATCCATGCGCGGACGTTCCCGTAGGGAAGGTTCCCGTAGGAGGTGTTATCCAGTGAGAGTCGCATTCTGGTACCATTTCTACCGAACTCTGACTGCTTATTTGAAAAGAGCCCTGATTCTTCCAGTCAACGTTGTTCTTCCCTCTGCGAAGCAATCCCACAAAATTAGTCTAATCAATTACTTTTTAACGTGAAAGAGACTTGGCTTTAATTTATTTAATATGTTTAATTAATGAGATATAATTGACATAACACTTTTATAACAATTTTAATTTAAAAATTTCTTACCGTCGACTTGTAATTATGGGCACAGGTTGAGAAGTGCTTGAATTAGATGGGTCACGATGAGGAACATCGCTGGTGTCGTGCATTTCCGACATTGGGAATACACTCTCCACGTTCTGCAAGACAAAGCTCTCTCTGGTTCTTGATCGCACCGGCGAACCGGAGAATGGACTCTGCTTCCTCTTATGCGATCCCTGATTGACTAATTCCGCGGAAAGGCCGAGATATTGATGTAAAGCGGTAAAGGTAACTCTCTGCAGGCGTACCATAATGACCTGGATAACTCGAACAAAGGCATCAGGATAATCTTGAAATACCTGAAATAATATTGTACAACATAAGATTCTATTTTACATAACATAGTCTAATGTTGAAAGAGAAAGTAAGATGAGCTGTAAATGCATAACTTACTTCTTGGAACGCGCTCATTGGTAACTTCACTACAACAGAATCTTCTACGGCTCTTGCTGATACAGTTTTGTATGTACTTGTATGTCCGGTAAGTACATCGGTAAAGCTAATAAGACTGGTAACCGACTCGCCTGTTTTCACTACTTTTAACGATATCTGAGAACCGTCGGGTCCAGTGATATATACATTGACTAATCCCTGCTGTACTATAAATAAATTCTCGTCGGGGTCCCCGATCTTGAATAACGTGCTGCCAGCAGGTAAATTCATGATTTCCGTGTACTTGCATAATTTCAGGAATACTGGTTTTTCAAAGTGACCGAAGACTCTAATACTTTGCAACATGTACAGAGCGTCTGGTGGTACTCTCTCGCCAGGCCCTAAATCCTCTTCCAGATATTCAGCCGGCGGTTCCAATACCTTGAAATTAAACAATTCGCTTAGATATGTTAGATAAAATCAATTGATAAAATCAATTGGTCAATTACTGTGGAACATACTTTGAGCTGCTGTGGGACAGTGTCCTTCTTGAGTTGCAACAATCGACGAGCAAATCTCATGACCGCCCTTCTCTTCTTTCCTTGTCCAGTAGCGTGCACTTGGCCACCGATGGACTTCACCTTGCGCAACATCTTTCTGCCATAAAAGAGAACCTTGTCTCTCTTCCTGAACCTCGGCTTCCCAGTACCCACCCCGACAAACTCCTTCACCTCTGGCAAGAATTCTTTGTTCTTCCATTTGCGCACCACAAAGATGGACACAACCAACAGAATAAGAAGTAAAATCGTGACAATGACAAAGATCGTCCTCGATGTTTGATATTCTTCTATGAATCTCCCAATCCATCTTGAAAATATGTATGATCCCAAGCTGTCGTTGAACTTATTGAATAATTCTATCACCTGCGTTTAAACATGTTCTACTATTAGTACACATCTAAATACATTTAAGTTATTTTGTTAAATAATAATGAGATATATTTTTTTGCCGTTACATGCTGCAATCATTTCCTGAATAAACAGAATGGAAAACATCAACTAAAATAACAACTTCTTATCATGCCAATTAAATTCTTCCTCAAAGGGGAATTCTGACTTTTATTACAAAAACGAAATTATGCAAATTTCAATCTAGCTTCAAAAATAAAAAATGTTCTGTACACAAGATAGATCTGAAAGATAATGACACTTCTGATTAATATTCTGTTTATCCATGAAACAATCATCAATATATCATTGCTTAAAAATTTATGCAATATATGACTTATATAATTTACGTAATGTACAACGTAGTGATATAACTCCTTTCTCTCATACAAAAAAAAATGTTATGAACCTCCTCAGAGTCTAAAGACTAATGACAGCTTGGCATTGACAACGTGATTGACAACTTAGGTTAAATCTCTCTGCATTTGTAAAAATTCGGCTGAAATCGTCAATGAACTCCGAGATATCTCCACATATATACGACTACGCGTGGCAGTGCCGTCTCGAAAATCATATCAATCAACGAAAATCTAGCGATAAACGAGATTGTCGCAAGGTAGCAAATATGCACAACCTCCATTGTGGGCACTCATGTCTCCCTCTCCGCCGAAAAATCCACCCGCGGACAGGATGTGTCACGACCGGGACCGCATATGTTGGCAAGCACGAAACGTATGGGCTAATCGAGCCCGTGGGGGACGAAAAAATTAATTATTTATCTCGCGAGTAAACGACCTTTGATACTTCGCTCGAGTCATCCAGCGCCATTTTGTGTGCGCGGCTACGAAGATCGATGGTTTAAAATAATTTATGTGTAACAAACGCACCTCGGTAAGGCGAGCAATAACGTCACGAGTTGACGCAAATCGATTGCATAAACGATCCCCCGATCTAAGTAGGTCTTCAATTTCAATCCTGTTTAATTTTCCGACAATTTCAAATGCTGCCAGTTCGCTATATCGATCCATATATATTATATGAAATTATTTATTATAGATTTGTTATTTAATTCCGCGTTTGTTTTTTAAAAATTTTTTACATAGCTGGCAAGATATGGTTTTGCAAAGAAAAATACGCGAATTCCACGTTCGCACGTATTACGTTCCGACAATCCGTCCAAATCAATCGAAGTTAAATAACACGTTGCGTGCTTGAAACAATAATTGGAGTACAAACGCGTGACATATCGTGCAGAGATAACAGCCGTCAACCTAATGACGCTTATAATTAATCGCAAAAATTCGCGTCATTCGCGGGCCATACACACACATCTACACACACACGTCGGTGTTGAGCCGCAATTCAAATCTCGCGCGTCGCCCCGTTCGCGGCGCACGCGCGCTTCCCTGCCGAGCGGCGCCGTGACTCGGCGCGCCGCCGGCAGAGCGCGCCACGCCGGAATTCCGGGCGGTTTTCGGCGGCGGTCAGTCCCGGCGGCGGCGGTAGCGACGGAGGAGGTAGGCGGCGGTGGACGACGGACGGAGCAGTCGGTGGTTACGAGCGAGGGCGACATGTTGGACATGTCCGTGTGACCCGTGCGCGTGGCAGGCGATCTCTGGCGCGCGATCCCCGTGCGTTTCTCAGGTCTCCTCGGAGATTTTTTTTTTCCCTCCCGCCCTACACGATCGTCCGATCGCGCAGCGGTGCGTGCGCGGGTGCGATATACATACGGTGGTGGCCCGCGGCCGAGCAGTGCAGCGACACAGTGAAGCGAGGCGAGGCGCGCGAGCGCGAGGCACCGCACGTCGCCGCTATACATGTGAAGTGTCGCGAGGATAATTATTCGCCCGTCGCCGCCCCGCTGGTTTACCCGGCCCAGCAAACAACATGAGCTGGGGCACGGAGCTCTGGGTGAGTCTCGCAGTTCTCTCGTTCCTACCCTCTTTTCTCTCTCTCTCTCTCTCTCTCTCTCTCCTCCATGTCTCCTCTCTCTCGCCGTCACGACCGCCGCGTACGTTCGTCCTTGTCGCTCCTCTCCCGCACCGCGCCGCGGGCGCTCCATTCGTCTCGTCTCGCGATCCGCTTCCACCTTGCGAAGATTCTCCGGGGGCCGTTCCGTAAATGGGTCCGCGCGCCGTTTTCCTCGCCCGTTCGCCCCGTCGACGGAGGAACCTCGTCGTCCGCGCCGCGATCGCGTACATATTCGACGTCGAGAACACACACATCCGTCCCGTCCAGCTGCCATTCCCCCCCGTGTTTACGGCGAGCGCATGTTCTCGTCGCGCGGCGAGAAAACGGCAAATTCGCGTCGAGCGAGCAACGGTCAGTCCCGGGGACGGTAGCCGCGCGCGTGTCCCGTATGCCGACTACCTACTCCGGCATCTGTTGTTAACCTGGCATGTCGCTCTCAGGTAGTCGAACGAACGTCGAACATTTTCTCCGAACGTTTCGAGTCGCATACCTACTTCACGACCCGAAAGGCCAGACCCGTTCACGCCGATGATGGCCGTGTCCCGTCCCATTCATCCTCTCGCGAAATTCCCTCCTCGCCCCCCGCCCCTCATGTTTTGCGTGCGCGTAAACAACGCTGTTGTTCGCTTGCGCGCGCGCGCGTGTTTTTTTCCTCTTCAGCCTATTCAGCCGAGACGTATATATACAACACATACTTGCGGGTTTCGTATCGCATTCCCCGAACGAACGACGCCGAAACCAACACCGACGCGGACGGTTCGAACTTGGACGACGCGCGGCCTCGGCCAGCTTCGAGAGCCGAGAGCTTGTCTTTTTTTTTTCCGTAAGGAAAATTACACGTCATTCTCGTCTCAACGTTTGTGACAGATTTCCACGTCGCCGCGTCTCGGAGGCCTGTCGTTCCATAAGGTACTCGAGACGCCCGCTGTAAATCCACTTAAAAACTAAATTTCTTATTTGTATATACCTCGATAATTTACTCTCACTTTATCCTGTAGTAAACTGAAGCGCGTATACGTATTGGTTTAGGACGCGTCTGAGCGATAAGATATTCAGGACTTTCAATATTTTCATGCATTGTCGTGGACGTGCGTCATTCTTATCTCATCCACAGAATGAATGCAACTCTTTAAAACATCCAGCGGAGAAACGACGTGATTCATCTCCGTAGCTGATCAATCCTTGAAGTCGCATATGGTATTTGCGCGCGCGCGCGCGCGCGTATTTCTCCGTACGCTAAATTAAACTTATCGGACTTCCACGTTCTTTTTTTTTTTCACTCTTATCCCTCGTCAATCGGAATGACTTCCTATTAGATTGCCATTAACCGTCAAATCGGGACTCGCTTTGACAGTTTCGACCGACGTCCACGAATCTACGCCGTGGTGTTATACGAGTGTCTCATCCGTTATATTTGTATTCGTTAAACGGGCTCCTTATCGTTATTTTCGATCACGTGTTCACGTGATCATCTCGCGCGATTATCTCGAAATTCTGGAATCTCTCGCCCGTCTCCGTTTCACTCGGCTAACAGGTTCAATTAGACGTCTTCCCGTCACGTCTAATGAACCCACTAGTTTCGAGGTTTCGACAGAATAGATACTGACGTTTTCCGTTATCGGACGGGATCTTAGGCTAATAAAAATTATTGTCAACCGTGTGCCGATTATTATTATGTTTTGAAATTCAAAACCTAAGCTGAAGCTGAAAATGTAATGTCACGCTAATATATATATATATATATATATAATAAATCAATCGTATTAGAGATTTAATAACTCTCATTTATTATCAATTTAATAATGTAATCTTGTTACATTTAATTATTAAATTTAATAACTATATATAAATATAGATATTTAAATTGATAATTTAATAGTACTGATGAGCTAATACTTATTAAAGTGTACTAGTTTTCACCCTCTATGTATCACTTGTCCATCGGTTTAGCCGGCTACCTATCCATTGAGATTTTCATTTCGCCTTGAGCGAGTTCGTAACTTCATATGACTTCACAATATCGATTTCTTTTGCAATAAATGCCCAGCCCTTCATCGCGTACTTGCCACCCTCCTGCACCGAGCTGCTTATTAAACGCATCATCTACATATCTATCAATCTAATCGACTAATCGAGCCTTCCAATTCGCCTTAGGCGAAATATCTCATTGTAATCGGATGATTGTACAATTGAGTATGTTTTCTTTTTGGAAGATAAGTGATATTTTTTTATCGGCTACCTCGCGATAAACAGTTAGCATCCTCTCGCACTCTGTTTAATACCACACAGCTGCTCTGTCTGTCGAGCTTTTCGCTTCATCTCGCTTCGTATATATTTTATCGCAGGCATATATTTTATCCTACCACCTGAACGAATTAGGGTTATTAAGATTAAGGCACGTACGAGGGGAAACTGCTTCCTCACGCCACTCACGCGCATTATTTACGATTTTGTTTTCTATAATATTTTATAATTAATAACATGGACCCTAATGTGTTCTGTGCTGTGAGACCTGAAAGATCCTTTAGATTCTGCCTAAGAAAACTCCTTGTTGTGGATTTCGTCCGATTTTGTTCGTGACCGTACAATCGAAATTTTTGCTCGCGAAATTCCTCTGCCAACGTATCTCAAGTCCTTTGGCGGATACGTTTTTGGGAAGAATATTTTTTTTCTCCTCCCGCGCGCCGAACTTACCTGCCGTCATCGTCTCGTCGTCTTCGACTTCGTCTCCGTCGTTGTTGTCGTTGTTTTCGCCGACGCGACGACGACGACCTGTAACCGCGATATCCCCGAAAACCAGTTCGCGCTCGCCGGGAGTTTTGCCTTTTCGGTTGCTAGCCGCGGGCGACGTTCCTCGTGTCCCTTCTCCTCCCGCTCCCCTGGTGGTTTCCCCTGTCCTCCTCGCCTCCCTACCTACCCCGGTGTTCTTTCTGCGCGCACCTTTCCTGGCCCCCCTCGCACAACGTCGCTCCCGCTACTCCCCCCCTCTTCCCTCGCACCTTGCTCGTGAAGGAACGTACGTTCTTTTGCTTCCTTTCCCGTGAAATCCTCGACGGTCACGACGGCGACAACGTCGGCTTGCGACCGACTCGCAACCCAAGGAGAGACAGAGAGAGAGAGAGAGAGAGAGAGAGAGACACATATTGTATATTTCAGAAAAGATAGTTTATAACCCACGCTGGATGTAAGATATGCGTTACGTCTAGACAATCAAATATTTCACACCACTATAAAGAGTTTTTAGCGATTTATCTTTTTTTTTGTGAGAAAAAATATTACTTTCCCGACAAAAATATAAAACTAGAAGCATAAGAGACAGTTACTACAAGAATTACAAATAGAGACATGATTACGAATAGAGATGCGATTGTGGAATATTTATTTTTATTTTATGCATTGTAAGAAAGAGCGAAACTATATGACTTCTCGATGCCACGGATTTGAACGGTGACACGAAGATAAGAATTGTGGAACGCGTTTAAAAGCCCTAAATGGATTAAGAATCGCACGCGCCACGCGTGCACATCTTCCCAGAAAAATATTCCTACGCGTGTTCGCGTTCCATGCGCATAAAATCGATTCGCTCGTTGCTTGCCAATGACGTCCCTGCGTTTTCAGATCTCTATTAATAATTCATTCGCGCATTCCGCGCGCCATAATTTTCGTTACTCATCCCCGTTACTCGATACACTCGATTGTCCGTCGAAATCCGTACGGTATATCGAATTGTTTCCTTCATTTCGCTTCCTCGATCTTTCGTTCTCATCGTAAAAATGTGCTAACTTTAACAAAAGTATCCAAGATAAATTTCTGGACTACAAATGCGAAAGACTGAGAATCCGAGATAACGTAACGAATCTTTTCAATTAATTTTCTTTATTGCGATTTTTATTTGATGAATGTAGGCTTGTTTTTTTTTTAAGTTCAATACACAGGATTTTCATTTTTCTCAACGTTAAACAAAATTTCAGCTAGTTATTTTGCGATTTATTTCAAATTTTTTACATTTCAAATGTCACGGTTTTCTTTACTATAGTACAATAAATTTATGTAAAAAAATTGTAGTAATGTATATTTGTACTTATTTTGGAATTTTTGTAAAATACGCGTGTAATGAATTTTCTTCCCGCTTTGTTCTTCTCTAGAGGAGATTCTCTCCTTCTCTTTTTCTGCGAAAAGATACAACCGAGGGCACGCCCGTCTTGTACACATGCTCGCGAGTAGCAGCGGCTATAGCGGTTAAACACGGACGCGTCTTGTATCGTGATTCACAAGAAGGTGTACGACACATCGATGACTGATATGTGATACGTGCATACTTTGGACCGCGTGTCAATTTTACCAATTGATAACGGAAATTACGCCGCTAATCGAACCTCCGGTCGGTCGATTGCGACTCGATAGAGATCTGGGGTGTACCACTTAAATCTATTAGCGGACATTGTGTCACTTTATATACTGAACATCGAATACCGCAGATCGGGAATGCTAAGCGCTTGATACTTCAAAAAAGTAATTGAAAAAAGTTGTACATAAAATGGAACGTGTAAAGTTGCTGCTCCGATCCGATACGGAGGAGTGTCTTCTTTTTTTTTTTAACTTTTCGCACAATATACTTCCTTTCCCGAAAGTCGAGAGAATTTCTAGTCGAGTCCCGAAGGCGAGCGGCTCCCCCAAGCTATCGATTGCCCGATTTACCTCGTAACCAGGCGGCCCAGCACTGACCCTGACGAATTAATTCGGTCCCCCAACGCACTCGACGGCACCGTGGAATCGATAGTGCGAAGACAGCCCGCGGGAGGGGAAGGGACGCGAGAGCGCGGGCGGCACGGCACGGAGGTGGGACAGAAACGGGAGATATACAATCACGAGGCACTTACGTCACACCGTATACGGTATCGCGCGATTTCGGAAATAACACCGGCGATTTCCGATTTCGC